GGCTGGGCTAGGATGTGAAGGCTGTTGTGGAAAACAGATAGGTCTTCAAGTCAATGAAATGCTAGGGCTTCCAAATAAGGAGAAAACCTAGAAAGCCGATAAAAATATTCAAATAGGAAGAGGTTACAATTCAGTAGCTGAAGCAAGAGCTACAGAAGGAAAAGTCAGAGACTTCAACTAACTGGACTGTGGAGATGAGGGTAAGGCTGTCTGCAAGGGGGTTGGCTGAGAGCCTTGTCTGCCCTGCACTGTGACTGGAGCAGGGCAAGGCCTTATTTGATAGTGGAAATGCCTTGCTCTCTCTAGAAGGAGACATAACTCTTTATGGAATAATTTATTAATGCCATTTAAGAAATTGAATTCCTGTTCTGTGAGAATTTTATTTATGCTAAATCAATATATGAAGTCAGAATTTCATTTTATTGCTGAATAGAAATTATATTAAGAAAGCACCATAGAGAAAGGAAACACTTAACGATACTGAACTGTTTTAGTCTCAAAGTGGTTTCAACAACACAATGATATATTAAAAATAATAAGTATTAAGTATTTCAGAAAATAGCAGGAGCAAAAGAAACTACAGTGCTAAACTTAGAACCAGATACTGTTATTCTCAAAATAACATATTAACATTAGTAAAATAGGATTAAAATGATTCATTATTCTTTTCTTCAAGAAAAAAAATCAAAATTGACACTTCTTGCCAAATGTCTGCATTTGGCAAAAACACCATTTTCCAGTGGTAACTTTCTATTGTCATTTTTTTACCATTTTTCTCTGCAGTTGAAGAACATGCACATTGACTTCTATTGCAACATCAGGAGAGCTGACAAATACTTATTTAGTAGCCACTGATGCCGGCATTGATTTAGTCTGTGACAACATGAGCACTGTGTAGGCATGCAGTCTCCTGTACCTCACCTGTGGCTTATTTTTTGCAAATTCATTTCTGAAAACCACTGTTGTAAAGCCCATCAGCTGCACTGCCCCACAAAAGAAGTTAGTACAGGCCCACCATGTCAACCCTGTTTCTCCTATTTTTCTTTGCCGAGCAGCTGCCAAATCAACAGCTCATCGATTTCTGGCTCAGAACGTAATCTCACACTTAGGGCTCTGAACGATGCATGCGCACACCCACAGAGGCACGTACACACTCTGACTCTGAGCTAGCGCTTGGTCTTGGGCAGGCACAATCTCTGCAGTGCTGCATAAACAAATGCCATCTTCATTACCTCAAATGGCTCCATGTTACTGAAAATGGAGCAAGCTGGATGCACTGCAGGAGGCTTGGAAGAGAGTAAAAGGCATTTGAAGAGTTTCAGCACAGCCTGCTGGGAAGCTCTGAAAATACAAATGGTCTGCCCCAAGTATTGATATGTGTGAGCTCTGGCTCTCAGCTAACTGCCAGGCAAGGTCAGGCTATCATGAGGATTCATCTCCAAAACCAAAATTTGATTCTGAGTGCTAAAATTGATCCAAAATAAACTTCCTTTTATTTTTTCCTCTGTATATCAGACAGTCACACTTACGACTACATTAGCACTGCCAGCCATGGCACTGATGAGGGATTCAAGGGCCAGCCCAGCTGTAAATAATTCTCTGCCTATTCCTCTGAAAAAGGTTTGTTATGTTAATTTTAAAAAAATCAGTAACATTATACATTGCTGATGCTGGCAATCCTGAGTCTGAGGACATAATTATTTAAGGTTAAAACAATGAGATTAATATTTTACAATAACTTGTACTAGGTATCCTTCCTAAATAACTTTTTTATACCTAGAAAGATCTCTGAGCATCCACTTGCTCAGTACTTTTGTAGTCATCACCTTTCTTTCTTTCACATTGAAAAGACAGATTGACTTAGAAAACATTGTATAAAACTTTTCTCTGTTGCTGTACCTTTCAAATGACTGGATTCTATTCTTCAGAAGATTGAAGTTTTTTCTGAAGTAGAGCTGGTGTATACAGATATGTGCTGTATCCTATAACTGATTTTTTTTTCTTCTGTTTCAGTTTTCCCTAGTGTAAAACACAGCATGTTGGTTCTTGGCAAGCAGTTGCTTTACGTATGGAAAAATAACTGTGGTACATCTGTGTAGAGCCCTCAGGGAATTTCTGATATACTTTTAGAGGCAATCTGCAGAACATACAATGTCAAAAAACTCCCGGGCCTTTGCAAAAGCAAGACATCTTGTCAAAGAGATAAGCATTGCTACTGGAGAGTTTTTCTGAGGAGTGTTAAATAAAGGACACAACTTCTAGCTTAATGAAACACCTGTCTGGAGCCACTACTCTCTACTTTCTGAGCTATCTCACACAAACAAACAGCTCATGATGGTAGCATTTTGCTTCCCCTTGTAACTCCTGTCTTCAACACTGCACGTGGCTCAGACTTGCTATCCAGCTCGGCTTGTGCCTCTCGTCCAAGCTTTAACCCAGGTTTCCCGGTTTGCAGCAGAGCTCAGAACTCACTGCCTGCTTCACTTCAGCAGTGATGTCCTCACGGTAACAGAGGGAGGTGGGGACCCTCCAGGCCTGGTCCAGCCCCTCGGGCTCCTTCGCGTGGCCACCAGCTTCTCCCCTGCCGATCAATTCAGAGCAAGGAGAGGATACCCTCCCTTCCCCATGGGAGGGAGCTCAGTGCCGCTGGAGCTCTCTGATCCAGCAGCACCAGCCGGCTGAGAAGTGGGGACAGCGAGTTCATGGACACTGGCTGCACGAATGGGTGGGAAAAGGAGCAGGCACGAACATACCCCACAGGAGCCCAAATGCAGCAGCGGAAACTGAGGTGTGGGAAGGCAGCAAGGCTTTTACCACCTCCTGGAAGGGAATCCCTGACAAGCTGGCCCTGTTTTGTGGTGCATCATAATGTACACTCTGAAAAAGTTTTACACTTTAATCTCTTGCTCATTATAGAGCACAAGAAGCAGGAAAAAACTAAATAAAACCTAAACTAAAAAAAAGCAAACACACAGTCCTTTTCCAGTGCAGTTATCTGACCGAGCAGAATCTTTTGTAGATATCTTCCCACACTGAACTCCACCCTCTTTTCCTCCACTTTTCCACACCCTGTTTTATGTCAGCTTCTACCCAGAAAACTGTGGGAGAAATCCAGCCCCTTTGGTCACATAAACACTTGATTACCTTCATTTGTTTCTCAAACTCCTCTCCCAGCTCATCTGTTGCTTAGTTATTTTTATCCTGGACTTCAGATTACAAACCAACAGCAGCTCACTCAGCTTGAGGCATTGGTTAACAGTCTTTGTGTGGCTCAGCTCTACTCGAGGAAACCAGTATTTTTCATCTTACTTTGAGTGTTTGTTTCTCAGCTTTTAGGTTATGCCAGTAGTGTTCTTGCCCTGACAGAGCCAGAGCAATTCCTAACAAAACTTATTATCTTGGGCTTCGTAACCCACCTGTAAAATGCTTCACTGTGTTCCTGGGGAACCTGAAATTAAACCTAGTGACTATGGAACATCCAGCACAAGGACCACCTTCTACAAGCTCTGTGTCACCACCTCGTGGATTTTTGGAATCCAAAGGACAATAGAGAAAGCAAAAAAATCATCCCTAACACACATAGAGAGTTCCTAGAAGCAGTGAGAATTTCTAAGCTGTGTTAAGACAGGCTCCCTCAGTTGTCATACTGGGATTTAATGAGATTGAATTGTACACAGTGTTCTTTAATTTGAAAAGAATTAAAAGCCAAGAGCTCAGTTTATCTCCTTATGACTGTAAAGAACTTTACTGCAAGTGGTTCACATTAAGCACATTTGAGCACAGTGTAAAGGTCTGTTTCTCTGATTAGACTATAATGAAGACAAGCATGAAGCAAAATTTAAGATATTTCAGGACTTTTCTTTCAAAATACATGCACAAATCAAGAGTTAACTTGGCATTATTTTTTTTAAATATGCCATCAAAAGAGCATTCAAATCATTCTAGAAAATAATTTAAGCAAAACAAAATTCCCCAATATTTTTACAGCCAGGGGGTGCAGGAACTTAAAAACCCCAAGAACCAATTTTTAAGTAATTGAAGTGTATGAGTACCTCAGATTTAACACAAAATGAAAATTTTGGTGTAATTTTTGGTTTGGGAAATATTTTCAGTTATTCCTAAAAGTGTGACTAGTCTCTGTTTCCACACATTTGCCATAGGTAGCAGCACTTGCCTCTTTGTTTTTCTACCTCAGCTAGCTAGAGAGGTTTTACAGTGGTCAAATCTTAAAAGAAGGAAAACAAATGAATTGTTCTGTGTCATGCAATAAACGCCAGTGAGCCAATCTGCTTCCGAGGCTCTCTATCCATTTGATCTCCAAGTAATGCTAAATTCGCAATTTTGACATGTTCTTCTAAAACTAGCCAACAGATTTTGGGCCTACAATACTTTTCAGATTTTCTTCCCATTTAGTCTGTAGAGCTTTTCCTCCACAGATGACCCCCTCAGCTTTTTTGTTTTTTTTTATCACCTAACACAACTCCAGCTGAAAAGACAGTTCAGCTGACAGCCAAGGGGAATCCCACTGCCTCTGGGTCTGCTTTCTGCCACTTATTCAAGCGAGACTGCCAGGAAGCACTTGTCTGAGCTCATAATTGTGAATGAAATATTTGATCTTGAGTAACAGCACAATTCAATTAGTGTTTTAACCAAGTGTGACCGTACATGTTGTTTAGGCAGCTCTCTGAGTATTTTCAATTATGTTTTGTAATGAGATATTAGGAATAAGCAGTGATAAACTAGAAGCACTGAATTTTTTGCATGACTGTTCCCTTAATGGCTTCAAGCAAAAGGAAGAATAAAGTTTCTTTTCTCTGTTCTGAGAGAGTCATGACACTTACCTGGGCATGCACACAGTTTTATAAGAATTAAATGGTGTGTTTTCCTACTGAAATTTGTAAATTTTATCCCTGTATGGGACAGCGCAAGATTTTGTGCATTTAGAAGCAAATGATCAGTTTGCAGACATCTAGAGAACAAAATAATTTCCATCTTGTCAAATATTAACTTTTTTATTTGTTCTAAAAACAGTAGGCTAAAATTCAGCAAGAAATAGTAAAAATATCACAACTGTAACATACAAAATCTCATTATGAAAAAAAAATCCTGTACCAATTAAAATCTACAAGGTTTTGAGGAAAAGTATCAAAGCATTTTCCAATTCTGCAAAGAGTTGGGATGCATACACAAGAGTAGTCCCTTTAAATAAAAGTAAGCATAAGAAATAGATGTGCAAGCACGCAGTATTTTAAGCTCTAGGAGTAAACAGACTGTGCTTTCTATCAGAACTGTTGCAATGATTCAAATGCTGATCCCCAAGCTCTTATAGGAGTCTAACATTGGGATATCAGATTAATAAAATGTGGAGCAACAAGGACACCTTGAGGACAGATAGAAAAATGCAAAAATTTCTCTTCCGCATTGATATGGGAGGATTTAGATTCATTGTACATCTAAATTCCTTGGAATTGCCACATGATGTGAACTATAAGCTTCTAAAAGTCTTTGGCAAAGTCCTACAAGTCCCACAAGTCCCACAGAGTATTATTAATGCAGAGCTGGGTCAGCACTCCTGAAATGTTAGAATATGTGCTTACCGAGTAGGTTAACTCACTTGCTAATAGTTTTGAGGACAGACCTGTTCTTGCAACACACTAATCTTGCTGTTCTGAGTTGCTTTTCTCCTTGTTACAGAGGTAAAAAAAATTTCCTTCCCACTGCTCAGCATAGTATTACACTGTACATAGTTTTAAAAAGAAAAGTATAAAATTCGTGAAAAGGTTTCTGAGGAAGTATTAAATGAAAATCTACACACAAATTAAACTTCCACAGTTCTTTGTCCCTCTCTACAAGTTTCAAGTATTTCTTTAAATTTGTACCTTTGAAAAAGTGATATAACTAAATGTTTTCAAATTAAAAAAGGTCAGAAGAAGAAATCTTATACTTCTTATTTTGCTTAAGATATTTTTGCACTTGAAAAAGCATTTTTTCTTTTTTTGTAGTATGGCTCTAAGTTAGAACTGGAGTTGTGGGGCCGTTTGTAGAACTTTCTGTTCCCTTAGTGCTATCTGCAGCCTTAGAATCATCACATATTTCAGGTGGCTCATTTTCCTCTGGCGTTGGTGGAGTAAGATCAATAGTGATCAATTCAGTTTCCTGATCTGTTTTTCCTACTTCACTGCAAAATTCAACTTTATCTTCCTGCCGGCTGTTCTTCTTTATTTGTCCATTCTGTGCAGGGTAGGTACTGGCAATGGTGTCATACAGAAATTGGTAATGGTCCTTAAAGACAAAGTGAAGAAAGTTAGTGTGAATGGAATGCTCACAGTCCAAGAATAAACCCATTCTTTCTCTGTTTTCTTGAATTTTAGAAATGTAGCATGTAGTTGGACATGCTAGACTGCATATGAAGCAGCCTGCACAGTTTTTGGCATACAGAGTGTTGCTCCTATGGTTTGTTCTGATTTCATGTGTATGTAACATCTCTGAAACTGCCTGCATTGGACATTCCAAGTTGTCACTCAGTACCCTCCTGGTTGATAAAGTACCAAAAATATGTTTTTTAGAGTACCTAAGTTGTAAACAACACATATTGTTAGGGGTTTAGGAAAGTCACATACTAACATGCCCCATATTGATGACACTTAGGTCTGGTTTGTTAGTAAATGTACAGTGTGTGCCACAGAGCCAGTTCCTCTGGAGTGGCTGAAAGAAAACAGTCAGTGCAATGGAGTGAGCCTCCTAACTGCAGAACTCCAGGGACACTGCATGTACATCCCTGAAGCAACTGCAGGAACAGCAATTTATGCAATTTACAATTTCATACTATGGAAACTTTCCCAAAGGTGTTACAGAATTGCAGCTCTGGACATCTCACAGACTCCTTCATTCCCATCAATAAGGCCCGATGCCCAAATGGTGGTGAGCGGCTGTGAATGCTCTGGTTAGAACGAGTGTTCTGTATACAGCAATTATGCATGAGGTTATGAGGATATTCATGACCATAACAAGTAATCTCATAATTTTTTCTGTTAATTCATAAGATTTACTTACAAAGGTGGGGACCACTCCCAACCTGGTGCGACGAAGAGTTTTTACTACTTGGAAAACATCTATTACTTCTTCTGTTTCTGCACTTTCCAAGAGGGTCATTAAAGCACAAAATACACCAGTCTGCTGTGATCCGTCACTGGAAGACAATGCAAAATGTACACGTAAATTTACAACATAAAATCAGCAAGTCTTCTGACTTAATGTTAGATATATTTTAAAGCCTTCATAATGAATTACTTTTCCAAGGCATTTTTTACTGGACTGAAATTGTCTCAATTAAGTGTAAGTGTGGGACTTGCACAAGACATAGTTTATCCAAAGGCTACTTGGATCTCAAGTGCCACTTAAGGGGAAGACAGAAATTCAAAAATTCAGACTTATAGTCTCAACTATTGTTAGCAGGATTATCTTTTGGTTTAGATGTTATGCAAGTCTGCTCCTGGAAATGATCCTAAAAAAGCAGACATATACTGGAGCGAGAAATGAACCTAAAAACTCTATCGGATCTTCCTTAGTGTATGCTATAAGTGCACTCTGACATAGCATTTCATCAGAAAATAGGAGTGCCAGCCAAGAGCAGCCAGCTCTTATCACCTATTCTGCACCCACGGGAAGTGTGCTTGCTTTTCACCACTATAATCCAAAAGGTCAAGCTTGAGCAATTCAAGGAGTCTTCTAGGGAGAGCTGAATCTCCAGACACATAGAAAGGCTTGTGGAAAAAGGTAGGCATCCCGGAATTATGGTTACTATGTCTGTGCAGAACTTAGAGCTAGTTGAACATATGTGCTGCATTTAGACCCACCGGCAGTGGACGAGAAGTGGGACACTGCGGGTTCTCCTGTTGTCCTCAGTGACTTGTCTGGATGGAATTTTTTGTTTAACTTTCTCAATCATGCTGACTAAATCTTTGGGGGTTTCCGGAACATCAAAGCCACTCCACTTATGATACTGATACTGATACACCTTCTGTGTTTCTTTTGTCTGAAAAACAGCAGTGGAGATGTTGTCAATGTTCAGGTTAAAATAAATATTCACATAGTACCTCTATTGCTGCTGATTTACAAAGGAAGAATTACATTCCTGAAGAACTGCAGAATGATGTGAGTTCTATCTCATGAATATGAGGTAGACATCCAAGCTTTGCTCAAAATGCAAAACACAGTCTTTAGACTCCACTACCACCATCTCAGAAACTCACTAAATAGGAAACTTGAGCTAATTTATCATGATTAACTTCTGATCTGGAAAAGAAACTTGAGATTAGCTCAGCTGGTTAGAGCATGGTGCTAATAATGCCAAGGTTGTGGCTTTGATCCCTGTAGGGGCCATTCATTTAAAAGTTGGACTTGATGATTCTTGTGGGTCCCTTCCAACTCAGAAGATTCTATGATTCTGTGAAAAATATTTCCATTTCTTAGAGCAGGAGGTAACTGTAGTGGGAACTGTCCCTTCTCTTTCTTTAGGCTAAGTTTATAAATTTGTTTTCAAATTTAAAAATTCCTTTAAAACTTCCTTTTGGAATTTGCAAAGAAACTCCTACCTTCAGGTGTGTAACGTCAAATGCCCGTATGGTATAGCTTGGGCAACAGTTGACATCTGTCATTTGAACTTCTATACCATCGTGTGTTTGTTTTTCTTCTCCCCAGTACTGCGCACAGAGTTCCTAAAATGCATAAAAGTACAAGTCGGTTATTACCATTCAGATCTACTTTTATTTTGCCTTACGCATGCACTTACAGAATGTACTGACTTTAAAGCAGCAGGAGTTTCATTGTATTTTAAAATATTCAAAATATATTTAAAATATAGCATCATGGACTCTTACTTCATTAGAATGTAAACTAAGTAGGTAAATAATAGAAAAAATTATATTGGAAATACAAATTCCTCATCCTATGAAACATGTTTAACTGCAGCAAGAGAATGAGAGAGTGCCGTCCAGTGTTTTCTTTGCATATATGTCAGTGTGCAGACGATGCCCCCACCTGATCTCCTTCTTTCAGCTCTGTCAGCATAACAATGACTTTGACTTTTCTTTGGAACACCATTTGCCAGAAGTCAGAAATAGTTTCCTGCAGTGGTCCCTGGGTTGCAATCATGGCTTTCGAACCCCAGTAACCCTACAAAAGAATTTTTTTTCTTGAATTTGTTTGAAATGTAATTGTAAAATAATAGAACTTATTGTCTTTTAAGGAATATACAGTGAAATAAACTAATGAATCATTTTATTTAGAGGGAAAATATGCCTATCACAGTACACAGTGGTCTTACAGGAATTCTATGGTTCAAATGACATTAAACTCAATCCTCCTAACAAGAGACTGACAACAAGGTATACTGATGCTGCAGTGGGTGAGACCTCACCCTGCCATTTTCTGCAAAGCATATTTTTAAGGGCTAAAACATTCAATTCTACACGGTCATTTAATTTTGCCGCTAAGATATTGTGTTTATACCACACAAAGTTGGTGCACCAGTCGGTTCACACTGAGCAACCTGAAAATAAAGATACATTTACCCTGAATAGGGATCCTAACTGTGCAGAATTTCAAAGTATTCAGATAAATGGAATTTAGCTAATAATTCTATTAAAATCCATTACTTCATTAGTGACCAATATCTGCTCTCCTTCTTTGGATGCATAATGATACCAAAAAGCTGATGGCTCCAATTTTAACTAGTAGCATTTGGTATATGTGAATAACTACACTCATATTTCACTAACAGGGAAAATATTAATATGGTTCAACTTGTAGGCAGATGCCCACTAGTAGAAATACATGTTATCATGAGGCCAGTCTGAAGACTAGTGGTTTTGAACATAGATGGATTTGCCAATCAACTTATTCAAGTAATTCCTATTCTATTTTGAAGCCAACAAGAGAGTAGGAGCTCAAGCTAGAATATAGTTTTAGCTGAAAGCTTGTGAAATACTTATAGTGGATCCTCTAAATACATACCGTTATGAAGGAAGCATTGATGTATTTGCTTGATTCCTCACAGTCGCTGTCCTCATCTGAGGAATCATCTGAATCATGTTCACCCTCCTTATTGTATTCATCTTCGTGCCTGATCGGCACTCGATTAAAGTCATCTGCACGAGACAAAGTGTCACCCTCACAGCACACAGCCCCTCGGGTTTGGCATTAGTGGGGCAAGGGGGGGAATAGGGAAAGGCCAATCCTTTCACAATAGACTGCAGAACAAAGGCTGCCTTGTTTGAAATAAACACTCTGAATAATTCACAGGTCAAAAACTCATCTCTCCTTTTTTAAAACACTGTGGGAAGTTTCTAATTTTACAGTGTTGAGAAAACTAATCAAATTCCACTCTGTAAGGTAATTTGTTCTTATAGAAGAGAACAGCTAAAATATGGGAAGGTTCATGGAAATACTTACATGGAATTATGTTGGCATTCCTATTTTTGCTTCTATTTTCCTCACGATTCCCAGTGTTCTGCGTCCGCCACCCCTTATAGGAAGGTAATCGCTAAAGAAAGAGTATGTTTGGTATTAGCTTGAATAAAATAGTTCCTGAGATCATTGCCTCCCCTCGACACTCACACCCAGCCTTCACCTCACAGTGCCTCACTCCTTACTTTAATTCTTTAAACTTTGGTCACATCTCAACTACAGTTTAAAAATACCTGCTACACCATGTACTATAGCACAGGGCATCATGCACAGAGACACAAGTAATCATTCTGTGCTCTCCAGCTTTGTTAAAAATGTCAACACCAAAAGCAGAAATAAAATTTCCTTAATATATAGCTTTTTTTCATAGAGGTAAAGAAGCTCTTTCTGTGTCAGAGAAATAAAATAGCACCAAAGTGATCTGTTACATACAGTATCTCTGTCTCATGACTATTGTGCAAGGTGCTTTCTAACCTAAGTGGGAAGTAAGGGCAACTCGAGTGTAATGCTTATTTACCTGAAATTCTGCCTCCAGCAGAGAAGGATCACTCGGATGGTCTTTTCTTTTCAGATTGTTAAGGTAGGAATGCAGCTCTGAGAGACAGACCTCTGTTTCTCCATACTGATTGTATTCCACGAGCGCTTGATGAATAAGGATGTACTGCGACTGGTGTTTCCCATTTGCAGAGTTTAAACATGAAGTTATCAAAGAGAAAAAAAAAAATCAGGTCACTTTTTAAAACCATTCTAAGGAACTATTACTCCCATGGTATCATTAGTGTTAATAATATTAAGCATTAACATTAAATAGGCATTAAATTCAAGTATTAAATACAGGTATTAAACTTGCAAAATACTTAAATAAGTAAAAAACACACTTTGCATCATACCACAACTTCTGGTGTACTCTCAACTCAACTGAAAATTGCACTTAGGCAGACAGTTTTTAGAATTTGAAAATTAAGTTTGACTCTGCAATCCCAATTTTGCATTTGTGAATTCCACACCAAAAGAGGGATTATCAAATCTAAATTTTTCTTGGTGCTCTTTTCTAGACTCTAAACTTAAAAAGTTGAAGTTTCTAAAACTGAAAAGTTATCTTGGAAGCTTTTCTCTCTATTAATATTTTTCGGAGCTACATTTTCTACGAACAACTTCAACTGAACTGTAGCACTATCGAAGACTGAGCAGTGCACTTCTGAGAAATACTGATGAAGCCCTAGCAATGGAGTGACAGGAATTTTAGTGACATACCTCTACTTGAACCATGAGGCATCGCTGCCGACGCAGCTTCACAACGTAGCCGTAAACATCCACTCTGCCTTCTGCATCCAGCCCCTCCAGCATGGCATCGATTCCTATGTATGTCCCAGTGCGCCCAACACCAGCACTGCAAAGCACAAAGGGATTTGTTTATCAACAGGGAATGGCATCTCCCGGTCCCACTCTGAGGGGAGCAGTCCTTGAGAGAGGGAAAGTGAAAAAGTGTAACAACAGAATTCAACACATCTGAACACAGTTCTTGCTGTAAATTAGCTGGCAACACAAACAGTGACGAGTTTGTATTTTTAGTATCTTTTAATGAAAACAAGGCAAATATTGCCAAATGTGATGCTTAGAGTCAGAGTAGCCCAACACTGGCTGTTTTCCAAAAAAGTCTGTGTATCCTCACGTTTTACCAATCTGAATATTCTTCATATCCTTCAGAAAACAGGTCTCCTTGTGACTCTTTGGCTGCCTCATTTTCAGGTATTCAAGCCACAAAATTTGGGATCAGACACTTTTGCCACCTCCCTTTTTTAAATAGCTTCATTTCATTTTTATTTAACATTAAATTTTTTTTTAAAGAATAATATATATTTACCTGCAATGAACTACTATTGGGCCACTAAAAAAGTTGCTGAGAGCATTAACTCTGCGTCGGAGTTTGAGAAGGAGATGTGGATCCTCAGGGACTCCATGGTCTGGCCAGCTTGTGAACTGAATATGAGTGACATCTCTTCCAGTTGTCCTTTCTCTTCCCTACAAAAGTGAAGTGTAGGGTTTTAATATCTCTCTCTATATATGTGTGTGTACATAAGTCCAAGTCACTAGAGTAAAGCTTAAAGCGTGTGAAGTCATTAAGTCCTACTTTGATGTGTTACTGCTAGACTAAAAGAGGACATAGGTTTTGATAACCATGATTATAAAACAAAATGAGAAAAACATCTCAATGGCATTCTTTTGCTGGCTAAGATTTAGTATGGCTATATGAGCATTTCCCCAGTAATGAACCCACAAATTATTACTCAAAGTTGAATTACACAGTTGTGGCAGAGTTATTCATACAGTTATTTGCCATTGTTTCAGTAATTATACATCACTATTCTACCAGAACTGCAGAAGTCTCCACTTTCTTGCTAGGTACCACTCTTAAATTCCATGACAAGTATTCATTTTCTCTATATAAATATGATGTCAGCTGAACAAAGGGCAGACAGCTCTAAAAATATCAGCCCTCAGCCTGCTGCAGTCTCTCATTTCTAATGTCAGATTGCTCAAGTGATGCAGCAATGTCTTTGTTAATAGTTAATTCTTAACTTCCTGATATTCTCCCTGACTTCACACTACGTTACAACTTTCTTTTAATCAGATCGCTTCCTGAGTAAATTTTAATGCAACATGAGACAGCAGAATAGGAATTTTCAGCTGTAATCATGGATCAAGATGGGTGGAGTCTGTTCCCTTTGCTGAAGATCTGTCAGCAGATTTACTCTTTGAATCTTAATGCTTTTAGCTATGACTTATGCTCCATTTATCCTCATTGAAACAGTTTTCAAAGAGCCTGAGATTGAGCATTTGGCCTTAAATGGCAATTTTTTTTCTCAATTACACATAGAGCAACTAACATGATTTCAGCTGTATAAAAGGTAGAAACTAACCAGCCTTAATGATTCTACACATAGATAAATGGAAATTTTAAAAAAATTATGTTTATAAATGCACTTGGGATTACTAGAATTTGTGATTGTCCCCCTGTACAATTATCATGAGGGTAGATAATGGTGATCTGTGAGTTACACTGATTTTAGTTGCAGAGGGTTATGCTGAGATACACACAAACCAGCAAAATTTCTGTGTTACAGAACAAACTAATATCTAAGGAAACCACAGTGTACATATTAGTTTTTTTAATACTTAGCATATTAGTAGTTTCATCTTAAATGTAGATTCTAGAAAATTAAGGAAAATACATTTTGAAGTTAGAAAATACATATCTAACTCATATGTCTTGCAAGGAATGACACCTACATCTAAGAAGTTTTCTTGGAAGCTATATGTTGCTTAGGAAAACACAGCAGAGCTTCTTCCATAGATATCTGACTCTTGTCTCTTAAAAATACAAACTCCAAACTGACCCTTTAGTTCCAGTCAGTCTCACACTTTTGAATCAACTTACATTTGTGATGTGTAGTTTCTGAATGACATAGTCTGGACATGTTTTTCTTTCATTGATCTTCACAATGATGTCCCCATACGTTGCAGATCCATTCTCCATTGATGGCCAGTACTGGGCACATTTGTTCTATGAAGATATGAAGTTAGGTGAGCAGCACGACAGCAAAGCAGCAGAGAGCTGAGAGCTAGAAAAAAGTCTGATTTAAAATAGATGGCAGCTCAGTACAGTTTTTCCAACTTCTCACAGGTCTCGTCCTCTCCTGAAAAGGCTGGCACTGCTTAGGCAAATAATTCCAAATATCCAGCAATTCAGGTCTCTGACCTGAAGTTTATGGTCATGGAATTTAATTTCAGGTGTAAAGTGGGGGAAAAAAAATCCTGTACACTAGTTGAAAAAGTGAACAGCAACTGCTGCTGGTGCCTGAAGGCTGTAGAAACGTTTCTGCAGCTACTTCCATGGCTTCTTTTTCAGTCTTCAGTGAGGGATGTTGCTCTTGCCTGCCTATAACATCAACTTGGGTGTGCTGTAAATCTGCATGCTGCCAACATCTTTAAAAGCAGTTAAAACAGCAGATCCCCTTCTTCCTGCTGTACCTGGAATAAGGAACAGAAGCAAGCCAGAAGCACCCAACCTTCCAGTTAAATAAGGGGCAAAGACAACAGGTGAAAAACATTCTATTTAGGATTTACGGAGGACATTGCCAGGATATCAGAATAGACAGAAGAAAAATACTAACCATACCTTTTATGACAGTTCTGTGAGGAGCTAGAGTTCTACCCTGAGCCCTTTTCTGGGTTAATTAGTTGTAATTTGGAGGCTCACCCTCTGCTACTTACAGATGTGACTAAAGTGATATTCTCTGATAAGACTGGTAATTCATAAGGCAACACTGTTTTGTCATACTTTCCAACACAGGTTCTGCCACAACAACAGAACAGCAAAGAATGAAAATGAAGTACTAAGAAGAAAATGTAATTCAGCACAGCAACCCACTCTGTTTTCAGACAAAAGAAGGACAGAAAGGTGGACAGAAGGATAGAAGGATGGATATTTCTCACCCTCTTTCCTTCCTCACAGCGAGTCACCATGACAATAATTGTTGCCTTCTGTTCCCAGATCATTCTCCAGAAATCATCTGTGGTTTCATCCTTGGGGCCTAGCAGGAGATATTTTAAGGGACTTTTTCAGAGTGCAGCCACATGAAAACACACTTGCCTTCCTGACATGCTTAGCCATGCAGTCTGAAAAGCTAAGTGATCACACAGATAACAGCCACACACTTTATTTCTTTATGGCTGCTGCCAGGAGGCTACAACATTTTAAATGTCTCATATGTATCTTTAGTGCATAGCCATGAAATCTGAAAACTTTTGGTGTTAAATCATATAATATGAGAAATCTGCCTTTGAAGTACAATTTGTTAATCTTCACAAAATTCCCTAAGTAAAAACTCACTGACAACTATTTCATATTAAATTTCAAAATTTCAGATTTTCATTATTTTCTTTAAATTTACAAATAGGCTTTTACTACTCTAAAAGAAATGGGTGAATAAAGAAAGCATATTCTTTTAAGGTTAAAAATTACCTTGTGCAGCAATGTATTTTCTTGGTTCTTTGAAGCCCTATAAAAAGTACATTGTTATCAACCTTTAGAAAGCAAGCATGAACAGTCAAAGATTTTCAACTTTAAAAAACAAATTCAATATACAACAGTTCAATAATACTGAATACATTACAAAGGTGGAAACAACTCAAATGGAAATCCTTAAAGGTGTTGATGCATTAAATGTTCAGACTATGGGATTTCTTCAATAGTATCTAAGATTTTTTTCAGTAAAAGTCACTCACATCAATATAACTTGCATTGATATAGTCCGATCCTGGATCTCCTGGGATCTCTGAGAGCTCAACACGGTTATGATCATCTGTTTAAATAATTTAAAAAAAATTATATCTCAAAGTAGTGAAAAATCAAATATTTATAAAATGCACAAAAATTATAATGAATACTCACATGGAAGAATATCAATGTAACGGTTTTTGTTCTGATTATGGCTTTTTTTGGCTTCCTTTATAGAAAATTTACTGAAAACTCTAGGAATACTCTGTAAAATACAATTTTTCTTTTATTAAATAAGTGTATATTTTAAATAGCTTCTATTTACAGTCAAATGCATATGGAAATAAGTTGGTATTACTGAATCTGGAAGATAACATTCTACTTTATATGACATTACTTCAAATATTTCTTATATCTGAAGTAGAAAAAATTTCTTTCCCTCAATATAGATAATATATATTTCCACAATTATATATTATTTATATCCCTATGGCTATGCAGTAAGAGTATAAAACATATGCATTAAAAGGTACTTTAAAATGAGAAGTATTTAGACTGCTTATTTTATATTTTTGCTGAAAAACACTTTCAGGGAAAAAAAAGTACTGTCATCTTACAATGAGGAGAGATTGGTAGCAAAATTAACTGGGGCCTATTTGATCTTAGATGACAATTTGCTCAATTTTCTAGATTATTTATTTATTTCTAACTAGTACTTCAAACACGCTCCCAAACGGAATTTTTCCAACCACCTGGTTAAAAATCTGTGGTATATTTTGAGCCAAGGACAAACCTGAAATTCGTCCAAGAAAAGCCTTCCTTCATCTGCAATCTTCCTCTTGTATGTGTCCAGCAATTGCTCTGAAGGTATCGGTTCTATGTTGAGAAGTTGCCTCTCATCTTCTTTAACTGCGTCAACAAGTTGAACATTTATTATTACTGATGTTCAAAATGTACATCACGTTTCAGTAAATGTGATTCTCGCATTGTCAGGTGAATTAGCAAAAGGACAAGCTTCTTTGTTTTAACGGCATATTTATTTTTTTAAAAACTGGTGTTGCCTGAGCCAGCTGTGAGAAGACAGGCCACAGGAATAACAGAACTTTTTCAGCTCTGCTGCCTGACTGGAGACATCTCTGGAGGAGGCCTCATGCAGGGACACTGCACCAACAGTGCTTTTGTACCACGTGTCAGCTGCCACGTTCAGGTCACACCCACAGCCCCAAGGCCACAGGAATTACACAGCCTTGCCTTCTAATTCAATGTTGATCAGTCATTGCCAGTGGTATAGGGAAATACTGTGCAAACAACCTACAAATGCATTGTCTAATTTTCCAAATTTCCTCCAATTTATTCTCTGAGTTGCAATTATCTGTTATATCCTCTCGAATGACAAAGTAACAATTGAACAAGTTTTAACACCTCCTATTAGACATTTATAAATTTTTTATTTACATTGAAAAGTTGTATTTTTTAGTAACCATGTATCTAAGCTAATGGATTTGCCTCTCAGCACAGTATGTAATATAGTTAGTTTCTGTGGGTTTAAGTGTTTTTTCTTTAAGCTTTCTGGTATTGACTGATCTTGTCTTTCTTTACAGGCTTTGAAATCTTGTGCAAAAAGTTGCATAAAATGTTTGGTTTCAGATTTGGGATTTGAAAGCCTTCAAAATTTTTCAGTAAACAACAACTGGCTAATGTTTAATTTCTTGTTTTGAAAAAGGCACACAGAAAAGGAAAATTCTGGTTGAAGCTCTATTTGATTCTGGACTTAGTCTCAGTGTTAAAAATACCACAAACATTGTCTGGGATAATAAAATTGGGTCTGTAATTAAATACTAACTAAGAATTTTTCAAATACTGACAAACTTTCAGTTCATTAAAGTATAAATACTTGTCCTACAAATTTACTGAAGTATTTTTTCCTCTATATAAGGTGTTATCATGTTGATATCTGTAATCTATGTATACAACCCAGAACATCAACTGTCCAAAGGTGGCAGCAAGACCTGAGACTAATTTTATTTCCACTTGCTAAATATATAAAGACTCACCTGCAACAAGGTTCACATCTTCAGAAGAATTGCTGTAAGAAGCAAAAGTATCTGTAAACACCTTGACTAGTAAGACATATATATGATAATGAGTTAAATAAAATCAGTTTTTTATGTGAACACCAAGGCCGTTCCCAGCCAGCAGACTGCATTACAAGCTCTCTGTGAAACAAAAGTGCCACAACTGCGACTATGCAGAGGTGTTTGGGATCCTTGTCTTCCTACCCTGAGCACTACTGAGGGGGAGAAACAAGGGGCCCATATCAAAAAGCTTTGTCACTTGCATAATTTTGTCCATATCACCTACTGCAAACTGATCTTTAATTCCTTCACTGGAGTGGCTGCCCACACCATCTTAATGTCTCTTGTTTGTGATAGAAAACCAACACATGCATAAAATGTAATGAAGTTTAAATGCTAAGCAGCCAAAACCAAGTCAGACTATTTGGAGCTGTACGAGTAAAAGTAGTTTTGCTTCCCTGAGCATAGAAATTTGCATATGAGCAAGAGCAGCTCCCTATCCCACTAAGGGAAAAAGCGGGGAGGGGAAAGGGGCTGGAAAAGATGAGACAACAATTTCTGTTGTTGCCAGAGGGCTGAAAGGTTTCAGAAAAAGTTGCCCAAACTCTTCTGTCTCTACCAGCAGCAAATGCCCCCTCACACCTTGCACCACCTCCCCTCAGAGCAATAGCAGCAGTCAACCCGGCTCGCCAGGACTCTGGTACAGGCATTGGGGAAGGCAATGGCCACTCCTCCATCACCATGCACTGTCCTACAGAACTGCTGAGTCACCTGGAGATTACTGTAATAAACAAAGTCTCTCTTAAATACTGTTTGGGGTGAACAAGCATTTTAAAGAATTTCAAGAAAGTGTGCATTATTTTCGTTGCTTTTGATTTAAATCATGAAGGAAACATTTTCCAGGTATTTCTGAATATTTTTTCACAAAACTAGAGACGTTTTATTCTAACAGATCAGTTCTTCTGTGCCTTGAACAAGGGTATAGCAGAAAGATTCTATATCTATTTCATTGTGTTGTCAGACAAACTCCAAAAATGAGCTTCTTTTGAAACAATTAAAAGGGAAAAAGATATCTTTTATCAGTATTAATAAAACATTAAACTTGCAACATTTTTCCACTACCCACTGAGAAATCTTACAAAAAACAGAAAGCCTCTCCCCCACAGTGAAAGAAACATGAACCTTACCTAAGCTTTTTTTGGTGAAGATCATAGATTTTGTACAGAACCAGTAGTAAAGCAATTGATGTCACAATGATCAAGAATGCCAAGAATATAATCAGGGCTCTAGAATTGTCTGGCAACAGAAAAAGAATATATTTTTATAATTTTAATTCCTTTTTTTATCTGTATACTTCCTAGAACCAGGGCTCATTAATTTTTTTGTTGTTGTTGTTTTGGTTTGGTTTTGGTTTATTTTGAGAAAGGAACTAAACAATTATTTTTATGTGTTTGGTTTAAGTTTACTATTCCAAAATAGAGAAGGGAATTTTGTTTCTTCATTTCTTCATTTTATTTCTTCATTAAATTTCTGTTACAATTAAGTCTCTTCATTCTTTATTTCCCTTTAAACTCTCCATGTCCACGTGTCAAAATGCTACAACTCACTAGTTCATCATTACCACGTTTGTCTCCTGCCCTGTGTGACCTTTACACCTGAGCAGTGGAGCTCTCACTTGCTCTTGACCTGAACATTGGGAATCTCTGCCAAGCCACAGATGTTCAGCTCTTGAAATGCAGGATCTGAACACAGGAAAGTAATCCTAAACTGAACAATTTAAGCTGGAGAAATTAATTTCTACTTGCATTTGAATGTTTCCTGAAGAAACCACAGCTGTGTAATAATTCTGAATTATGATCAATGACTTGTCAACATGATCTGTTATATTAATACTTAATTAAGATAATATTTTTTAAATGCAGATCAACTGTGAACTATAAAACAGGCAGTTTGGATTTTTAATTAGGAGCAATTTAATGGAATTCACAATTTACATTATTTATATTATGCTAAAGTCTAAAGGTAAAAAGGCTGTACACATTTACTTACATCTGGTTTTTATACTCCCCCGTACTGCCTCCCCTGTATGTTTGCTGTTAAACACTGAGATCTGTATGCAGCAGGTGAGAATAATAGAGATGTTAAGACACAAAAAGCAAAAATTTCTGCATACAATTTATTTTGAAAATAAAGCACAATGGATATTGAAATTCATCCATCTATTTTCAATTAATCAATCTCATTGACAGCAGCATCTGCTATATCTCTGTATAGCCCTTTATGGTGCAGCTTGGGTTTCTACCCAAGTTACAGCAAGATCTAGATCCAAAAATATGGAGATGACAGGAAAAAAATTCAGCAAAACAGGAAACACATCTTACAAAATCAAAATCAGATACATCTCAAGGAAAAATTAACTTTATCTCTTATCAAGTCTCTCAAATCTGAAAAATAACCATGCAATATATAAAAAACCCACTCATTGGCTTCAACAGTGCATATACAAGTAGTCAACTGAATTTGATATTTTAATATAAATTTCTGTATAGGAAGTAATTAATAGAAGTTTTGCAAGCAACAAGCCTCAAAAGAGTGAAATGCCTGAGAGAAGAGAAAATAGAAGGAGGCCTTCAAGAAAGCAAAGCTTTTGACATATTTTGTATGGAAACAAGGACTGCCTTGTAAGAGGATGATGTAAGAACATAGGAAAGGATCTGGACTGCTTTATGTCAAAAATCTTCACAGTGAAAAAATCCGAACAGTTTATTTCTGAGCAATTATCTCAAGACTTAAATCCCACATTTATACTCTGATTGAAATGACAGTCACATATTCATTAAATGAAATGTGTTTTAAACACTAAGATATTGGTCATACTGAAGAAACTATTTTAAACTTTTAGAAACCTAAAATTTCTCTCTTTTCCAAGTACAAACAATCTATTCAGCTTGTATTTTTCTTGTTGTCAGAATCTATGTGGAATAGCACACAAGGAATTGCTTGGTAGGTTAGGTACATATGCATTTTATTTCCAAAATAATAGCTATTTCTTTACATCTGTAGCCTACAGATCAATAGATTAATTCCTCTGCCATTACATTTGCCTTTTTTTTCCTAAAATGAAGTATAATATGCTTAAACAATGAAAATGCTGCAATATTTTAATATAATAAGCCTACTTACCTTAAATGTATAATTTGTCAAGTATGAAAGATCTTCTATTGTAAAATCACAATTCTCGCCGGTCTTGTAGGTTTTTCCATCATTCTCCCAAGTCAATTGAAATATTGTTTGTGGTCCATACACTTTTTGACGTTTGCACTTAATTTGGACAGCATTATCAGCTGTCAACTTTGCTTCAACAGCAGTCACTTTCTCTGGTACTGTACACAAAAGAAGTGTTACTGGTACTGTTCTTATAATTTCAAACCCAACATTTCACACTGTATGTGCTCACATCTGTTTATCTTCTCTCTTAATATAAATGTCATACATTTTCTTCCTTAAAAAATTCAATCCCAATTTAACAAGACAAGTAAAATCAGTTTTGGCTTAACCATAGGCTTATCTGAGCTAGAAAAGGTGTGAAGTGGAACTGAAAAGGCTGGGAAGATCAGAAGTCTACTGACAGTCAGGCTGCAAACACAGTATGATGGCAAATCTCTCTCTTACACCTGACATCACTTTCTCATTTGAAGAACGTGGGATGACAAAGAAGACAGGAGGACAAAGAGTTTTCCATGTGAGTATTCATTTCAAAACTTCTATAAATGAAATTTCCTGCCAGGAGTTACTGGTGTGTTAAAGCTGACCTAAAACCACAACAACTTTTTAATGATACAGAATCCGTTAAGTCTGATCTGTGTTTTCTAACTCTAATTTTGTATTTTGCAGCAAATATGTTTCAGACTGAGGGGCACAGCCCAAGGAACCTTTCACTGAGAGCTTATAAAACCTTTCAGAAAGTAAATAACCTTCTCCATAAGGCAGGCCCATTGGCCACATTTCAGGAGAACATCACCACGGAAATTTTCTTCAAAATAACTTCAACTTGCAAACTGGTATATTAAAAAAAAAAAAAAAGCAGCTACTTTTTTCTTCATATAAAGAGCTAAGAGGTGTGAGGATTTACAAGCAGATCAAATATCTCACGTGGGTATTTTACTTGGCTGAGTGTGAGGTTACGACGTATCTGCTCATTTTTATCCACAGGGCAGATCTGTTATTCCTATTCCACGTACTACTGAGAGAGCTGTGACAAGGAGAAAGTGAACTCTTCTGCAGGCAATGTGTTTGTTGAAGATGAAAACACATTTTATAAAATGTAGGGGTTTTCCTACTTCCAAGGATTTGTGCTCTACTGATAAAACCATAAAGCCATGAAACTCTCCCACTATCTGCTTGACCATGTTGTTACAGTTGGAGAAGGTCTAATCAATAAGATTGATTCATGAAGGGAAGCAACTTGTTATCTTCTAAAAAAAATAAGGGATATGAGGTTGTTTTGAGACTCATAAACTTATACTGTACACTGTAATCTTGACCTGAGTTACTAAAATATGAGTGGAACCCCAGAAAGTGGAGGCTTCAAAAAATACTATGCTCAAACAAGATTTTCATAGAGAAAAGAATCAAGATCATGCTCAAATTAGGGTTGGCTAAAAATTAAAGCCATTTTTAAATTTCTGTTACAATTAAGTCTCAGATCAAACTGTTTACATTTATCAATTAATTTATTTATCAGATCTTTATTTTTTTTGTGGGGCTTCAGGTGACAATTTTGATCCCTGTATACTTCAAATCATAAACTAAAATTTGTTAGCTCAGTGACCCAGAGTAATCAGGGGATTCTAATCTTTACATGGGTTGTCTATAAAACTGGCTGCAAAAGGTCTGCATATTCCACAGAGGGATAGGATTCAAATTCAAAACAATAGTCTGCCAGAAGCCCCTGTATTTCCCAAAGCTCTACAGAAGCACATTTAGTAAAAACAGCAGTCAGGTTTAATGTTCTTATATATCCATTTCTACAGACTTTCCAGGAGTGCTAAAAGCAACAAAAGACTTAATTATTCCTGTTATTAGGGGAAAAAAAGCAATCACTACTTAAAACAATCATTACATCACTATCACAAAGATAATATTTTATTTTTCATTTAAAAAAATCTTTTGTTTATTCAATGAAATTAAAGGAAATATTAATTTAGTATCTTACAAGGCATAAGCCATTATAGTTTTCCTTTAGCTATATATCTATATTAGCTAAATCTGGAGGTGGTGCAGCTAGAGCTAAAAAAGTACTGGAAAAAAACAGGTAAATATGAGGGTTTGGGTAGGTTTGGATTTTGTTTTGTTGCTTTTTTCCTCAAAGCAGGAACTAAAATAGTATGAGGCTCTACATCTGAAGATTAAAAGGGGGAAAAACCCCAACAAAGTAAAAAGGACTGCATCTCTATTACACCTTTTCTACATCAGGAGAATATCTCTGAAGTCTGTTGGTTTGGGGTTTTTCTAGCTTCTCATCTAGATTTATCAATTGAATGTGTATGGCAAACAGAGAATCGGGACCACAGGGCTAAGCTTTTGAAAGTATAACCCCAAAAAGGTGCACAAACCTTTCTGTCAGCAAAAGGGCTGGCACACATTTGTCTTTAACCTAATGTTGGAAGGCAACTGTGTACATGTACACCCAAACTGATCAACACCCAGTACAGACATCAGTGCTGGTGCAGCCTGGGCTATGCAGGTCTGCCTCAAGCAAACAGGTAACTACAGAGCAGAAGGTACAGTCTGCACAGCTTTGTAGCTTGCAGGCCACAAAATAAAACACAAACATTTTTCATTCTATTTTTGTTTAATTTGAATCCTTTCTTTAGATTGGGACATAATGCTTTCTAAAATCTTAACAAGAATTGCAAATGAATGAAGAACTTTTTTTTTTTAAATCTTATATAATACTAATACCAAGTGCATAATTAAAAATAGATTAACATTAAAAATTAAAAAAGAGACACTGATAATATGAGTGTCAATAAAATTATTTTAATGTTAATCAGTTTCTTGGTTAATAGCAATACCATGTATAAAATATAATGAACTACAAGAGAAGAGTACATATTCTTTGTGTTATTATCAGCCTCATTCATAATAGTTAGCAAACAAGAGACTTACCTCCTTCTTCTGTTATAATGTTACGCTTTTCAGGTTCACCCTTAAGTTTTCTGTTCTGTTTGGAGTTCGTATATGCAGTCACCCAAACAGAAACATTGCTATAGGGTTCAGGTACATTGAAAGTCCAGTCAGTCATGTTGATTTCTGTCTCCTTACAAAAAACTGAAAAATGAATTAATGAAATCTATTTTATAACCGCAGGAGCTCTTACACTTCATCAGAGCTACCTAAAACCACTGTCATGTGTATTTCTATTTTAATTGCCTTTTACTTGGTTTCTTTGTCTTGCTTACTAATACTAAGTGAAGGTTCAGGAAGAAGAGGAAATATAAAACCACAAAAGGAAAGACATACTTTCTTCTGCATTCAGCCTGGGAAGGGGTTAGCAGAAAGGCGTCACTCTGCACACTGAGCAAGTCTGTACTGGTGTGGTGTGAGAGATGTTATGTGCTCTCAGTGGTGGCAAGCAGGAGAGAAAGGAATTGCAGGAGAAGCAACTTGGGCAAAGCTATTAACCCACACTGCAAATGGGGCTTTGGTGGCCTGGGAAACTGGGGAGCAATGGCCTTCCCATGTTTCCTTCTGGCTGATTTCAGATGTGACCTCCCTGTGCCCCCACATTACTACCTTGGTCTCCCACACTGGCCAAGCCAAACCAATCACAGAAACTGGTTCATGGGGCTGCCACCCCTTTGGGTAGTGGTCAAATTCAGGACATGGAGGATGGGAGAGATTATTTGTATCTGGGGAACACAGGACCACGACAGGCTTTGGTTCCTGTGGCAGTCTGGGTTTACATAACCTCCAGTATGTGAACAGAAAGGATGAATTAAGCCAGAGCTAGCTTAAACCTGACATATATTTATTATTATCAGGCTCTTCGATTTAAAAACCTCATTTTCCAGTCCTTGTTTTGAAGAGAAGCTCACATCTGGAAAATGTGATCCCAGCGTAATGACTACAAAATTAACCATTTAAATGTAAGATGGCCTAGACCACCATCTCTGAAAGGAGTGGTCATTTAGTAGAAGACAATCCTCTAGCTATACCTATCTAAACATGCGTATACTAACTGGCATACTCAGGATCCCTTGCTTTTACATACTTTGTTGTTACTCAGAAGGCAGGTCCTCTCAGAGAATATATTGACCAGCTAAAGCAGCATTTTCTGAGACAGAGAGCACCATTCTGCAAACTGATCAGGCAACTGTCAGAACTAATACTTAACACAAGAAAAATGAGAACTGAAGGTGACAGGGTTGTGTCCTGGCGTGGGAAACTGAATAATCTTAACTGAAGGTTCAACTGGAACAACCTCAAAGGAAAGAAATGTAAATGTTTGCTAAAAAAAAAATGCAGTTTTAAGAGATTCCAATATGGTTTGACAGTGCATCATGCTTGGTGCTCTGTAATTATGTACATACAATGAAGTATTTAACAGTGAATATACTTACCTTGGCCATTCACAAAGCATTGCACAAGGTAGCCATGTATGGGACCCTTTGAAGTGTTGCTAGGTTCCCTCCATGTAACTTTTACATTTGTCCCACTAGAATTTACATCAAGTTTTTCTGGTGCTTCTGGAGCTGTTGGAAAACAAAAATAACAATAATTAGCAATAAAAGAAAATGCAAATATTCCTCTTTTTACCTACTTCGATAAGTCAAATTTCATCAGATACTAAAGCAAGATACCAAACAATGTGAAATATTTATTGTACTCTATTTCGTTCCAAGAAATGATTCATAAGTATAAACTGAGTATATGTAAAATCATCATATTACAGTAATTTCATAAATTTAATTAATTCTGGATAAGGTGAATACAACAATATCATATATTACTAAAATTGTCCAGCATTTCCAAATATTAACCATTGGTTTTATTCTCTTATAATTTTAACAAACCATGTGTTTGGCCTGGATTTTTATCTGCAGGTTACCTGATTTAGGTTGTTTTCTTTTTTAATTCAGAAAAATAAAGGTAAGCTATTTCCAAGGGTAATGCTTTGGAAAAAAAATATCATTTTATATGGATATATTCTTTGCAATTATTCTATTACGCCTTTCTTCAAATCAAGAACTTAAGACCTGTTTCTGACTAAATCTGTACTTTTCCTTATATTTGGCCATGTTCTCAACCTCCAAAACAACAACAAAAAAAATAAAAATCACCATCTCTGATAGGAGGAGAGAAAGGCATCAGACTGGAAGACTGAGACTGGGGCTGGAGAGGGAAATGAAGACTGTGACTGCAATCACAGAAAAAACACAAGGGGAGGAGACCAGGAGGGAGGAGCTGGAGGAGAACCTGAGTGTGGTGGAGCATGTTTCTCAAAATATATCTTCAACCACAGGAAACACAGACAGTAGGATTCATTGTAGGGGTTCCCAGAAATATGTGAAATGTATAGCAAAAATAAGCATTACACTTACCACCATAATCTGTAGTTATGGTGAAGCTTTGGTTGGCAACCACATTTTTAGGAAAATACATGGTTCCATAGCAGTTGTACTCGCGGTTGGGTGATAAATTGTTCAGACTTTTACATTTCTTTTGATTTGGAGGTATGAAGTCTGGTAAATCTGTAGAGCTTACTGGATCTGTAGACACAAAAAGAGGTTGATCAATACTTTTTTCACAATTCCAAAATTGAATGGCCCCATTTTAACTGGGATTTTCTCTACCATATTTATTCAGTGCAATTTGCAATAAACTATCACAATATTCCAAACAGAAAAATGTACAGCCTGGTCCAATGTACAATCCGGCCCAAGTTTCAGGTTCTTTTGAAAGCTCCTATGATTTGACTGTCTTAGAAAACAGGTTTCCCAGAGAAATCATAATATGTCATGGGAGTCTGGCAGAACCCTGGAATGGCTTCCTATCTCTTCAGTTCCCTGAAAGAGGAAATTTCCAGCCCTAGACATTCATCAGACATTTTTCTGGGACACTTGAGGACAGTCAGCATCCATATCTTCCCTATCACACCAGGAGCCTTTGAGCCAGCATCTCCTCATGCTGGCTGGCTCCAGGAGCAGAGAGCCTGGACTCCCACCATCCAGGAGCCTGCACAGCCAGTTGCCCAGGCAGCCTGCAAGGGATCAGCTCACAGCAGACTCACCAAGTGCAGGATTTCCAAAATATTCAGCTCCCCATCAGACCTCCAAGCAGGACCTCAAAATCTCCAGAAGCCTCCAATTTGTGAAGCTGGTAAACTCAGCAAAAGATCTCTCTGGGTTTGAACTTTCTCCAGATCTGCAGTGTGTGGGGATGGCAGTCCCCAAACTGGTGATACTGGAAATTCTAAACTACACTTCCCTCAAACTGGCACAATTAATTGAAATCTGCCAAAAGACTAAATCTGTCATCAAAAGACAACATCAGCATTGCTTTTAAAAATGAATGAATAGAAGTGACTTACCTTTGCAGACAGGAATCACACGAGCACAGGCGAGTGAGCTACTCCAACATAACAGTGCAGATGTGCTGTCTTCTTTCTCAACTACAAAAGGTTCACTGTCGACTGAAACAGAATTAATATTATACATCACTGTGACATTGGCTATATTGATGCTTTAAATAAGTTTGCTCTTTTATATTTTTTTACTTGTTCTGCAATATAAAGAAACAATTGGCATAGGGTAATTACAAAGAATTTAACAAGGAATGGAACATAAAAGTTGAAAAAGCCTACATGAGATGAAGACATGATGATATTTAAACAATAAATGAAACTTTTAGTCCAAACTTCCAGTGTAAATAGCAGCTTTGAAGTGGTGGCTGGTTTTGCTATTGCTTACTACACTGCATATGGTCAAGGTAGTTAAAGTTCCCTTTTCCCTCAACAATGAGAAAATTACATTTTTTATATTGTACTTTAAGAAAATACTGAGGGGTGTTAATGTACAACTTCAAAATATCTTGCAAATCAAGCACAAAGTATGAAAACCTTCTGTCTAAGTCTCTGAAAAGAGACAAAAATAGATGCTGAAACCCAGGGAAATTGAATGACTACATATAAAAAAAAACCAAAATGACAAAAAAAAAGAACACAAAACAAAACCAACTAAAAACACCACCAAAAACCCCCTGCTAAATCCCTTGTATATCTACCTGGTGGAACAGTAAGATAATTGTCTGGACAGGATTTAACTTGAACTGTGTATCTCATGCATTTCTGAAGATTTACTGTATAGGTGCTGGAATCCGCAATTATTCTTTTGTTTTCCTCCACAATTACATATTCTCTGGATATTGTGAGATTTCTCAGCTCAACGTCAGCCGTGTTATTGCTGTATTCTTCAATTATGCTGCTTTCAATACCATCATCTAAAAGACAAATAGCAAACAATGATTTTATGACAATTTTTTAAAAAGCATTAAATGTTTTTGGCACCCCCATGTGTTTTAAGAATCAGAAAATACTAAAAATTAGCTGCTCCTCATTCTTTATTTTTGTTTTTTATTTATCTTTTATTTAAGAGAAATGTTTAGTCAAAACAGAAAATTTCCTTAGTAAAATATTCTTTTCAATAATTCTCTAGTTAAGGAAACTAAAAATTAAAAATATGTACATTCCAGAAATAGATTTACTTTCATTTAAAATGTTAGATCAAAGTGAAATACTTTGTTTTGAAATGTTAGATCATTTGGTTTTGAAACATTGTTTCATTTGACAGATATTCCACATTTTCCTATTCAAAGCATTTCAGAACCATCTAGTAAATAATGGCCATAGTCTATTCTTGAAAATTAGAGAGGCCTGTAATTCTGAAGAGAGATAAATCAATGCCTGAACTTTAGTTCTACATGACTTACAAATTGCAGTTTGCACCATGTGATTATCAGCATGATGGGGAAAAACTAGAGAGGGCCTAGTGGGATGAAGTAGATCAATTCTGCAGCCCTGATATAAACAGCTTAATGCAGGGCAATTCAACAGAACTGTAAGTGGAAGTGAGAAGACTAGAATTGTTAATAACTTTATTCCTACTTCTTCCAGAACTGGAAGACATTTTATAAAATAATCTGAGATGCTAACTTTTTTCTTTGCTTTTTTTTTTACTGCTTTATCAGCTTTACCAATTTTCTACATTTGACTTTATTATTTGGTCACATTTCAAGACTGAGGGAGAATAAGAGGTTTGACTCTTACCACAAGGTAATGAAGTTGTCACTGTGGTTCCTATAAGAAAAGAAAACAAAATGAAGGTCTATCTTACCAGGCTTGTTTTTTTCACAGAGCATTGGAGAAGGGTGACCAATACTGTCCCAAACTATTAATTAAATATATTCAATACAAGCAAACTTATTTAGCACTCCTCTCGGATTTGAAATAGGGAAGAGATCATCAGCTATACATAACTCCATTTTTAACTAGTTATTTTAGAGATCATGTGTCTTTCACAATTTTCCAATTACATCACTGAACTAGAAATCAAACTGGTTTTATTAATATTTCTGAATACAAAGTTACACAAGAATATTCCAGAATCACACATTCTCATAGCAGTATCATAAGCTATAGCAGTTTTCCAGGATATGTATGCTGTGAAATGGTTAACTGAACAGTATAAAATGTCACTAAAGAACCAAAATTTGCCTACTTTTTGCTCTGCCACTCTTATCTTTGGAAAGAGATTTATACAACAGTACAGATCATTTTACAATAATTGTTACACTAAGGTATCCAAAAGAAATTATGAGCTTTATGGTATTTAGAAAATCTGTACAGAATATCTTCATCCTGAAAACAGTGACTTAAAATATCCTAAGGTATAAATATTACCAAAAGAGACTGATATCTAATTTTTTTTTGTAGAAGATAGGCCCTAGATTTGCCTCCCCCAGGCTGGGACTCACCTGGCTGAATAGTGGCCCTCATGAGAGGGCAAACTGAGAGGGTCCATTGTGGAGTTACCAAGATTGTTAGGGGCAGAACACCCACAAATAACAGCTAAGCTCAGTTTGTGAAAGAGCAGACAGTAGCCTACAGCTGCTGGAAGGGCAGTTAAAAATGATGGCAAGAGTCCAGCTCCTGGATGTACTTTCCTCAAGCACACACACATATTTTACTGACCTGAGTAATTCCTTACAACCCAAATGCAATTATAATGTGTGCGCTTGCATCATTAGATCCCAAGAAAATACTACTGCTGTGTGAAACAAAAAAGGAAGCCACCAGAAAACAGAGAAGCACACAGATCTTGGATGTATTCACACTTTTTTGCTGCTTGAGCAAATTTCTGTGAATAACAAGAGGAGTACTGACACAGTAATTGACAGATTTACCCCCCTACTACGTGCCACTGTGTGTAAATGATTTCTATTTTGCACCCGCTTGACAAGTAGCAAATCTGATATCTTTAATATTACTCATTAACTATTAATAAGATTCCTAAAAACACCCTTAAGTTTAATGCAGCTGTATGCCTAATTTGTATGCTTAGGTTTGATAACAGAAATTCAAAATGAATTGCCTCATTCTAGCACATTTTCTGTGCATCAAGCATCATAGTTGTGGTAACTGTGTGCAAGTTTGTCACCTATTGTGTGAGTGGGGGTGATTCCAGTGTTTGCTGGCGTGCTGACTGGTGAGGTGGTGCTGTGCAAGGATGTTGAATTGTAATCATCTGTAAGGAAATAAACAACATATCAGCATTAAAAGTGAAATTCATTCTTTCATATGGCTATGTCATCAAAAATGTGTTATACCACAGCCCTTCCCTGCTTTTTTTCATAGGGAATATTTGTAACTTGGAGAAGAGTGCTGAAAGAAAAGTGATGTTAGCATAGCAAATAAGAAAATGAGTATTTTAAAAGGAAGCAAATTTTTAGGAGTATACCATTTACAAATAAATTTTCTGATGTACAAGAACTACTTTTGTTTTGCCATTATTTAGGAATAATCCAGGATGGAGTCAACATACAAAATGGTGTTACAATTTGTGAACTGGGAAAACTAAAACATTTTGCTATATTCTTACAGTAAAACACAATTATGAATAGTGCTTGTGTTCTTTCAGAAACAAGAACTCTCATAGTGCTCATTTGCCAGATCACGCATCTTGCTCACTATATTACTTACTATATTTCAATATTTATCCCCCAGCTTATAAACCAGAGACAGGTTTCTATATTCTTTTTCAGGCCCATTCCTATTGCTCTTGCATTGGCAGCAGACTTCTTGACAGCAGCTGGCATTTTGATACTGCTGTGACGACTGCAAGACTTGGCCCTCAGATACCAGATCCTGGAAATAATCCTGGTATTGTCACTGTGCCAAATTGCAGACAACTTTTCTATCTGCTGAACCATAAGCTGAAAAAGGCTACCTTGATGTTGGACTACTTAGTCCCTCCCCTACAATTCTGAGAGCAGGGAGTGGCATCTAAAGGAAGACAGCAAACCTGATGAAGGACTCTCGGAGGCAATGAGAGTGCGTGTGGTGAGGGCAGCAGTGCTGTCGTGTGGTGGATTGCTGAGTCCCGTGGCAGGGGTGGAGCCTGCGTGCGTGGACAAGTATGTGCTGTCTGCAGGAGAGACACCTGTGGTGAGAGGTACAGCAGTTTCGTTAATGCTTCGAGTCTGCCCGGCCAAGGAGGAACACAAAGCTGTCCATGACACAGGGCACAGTGCTGGAGCACTCGCACACCGGGAATTTGTTAGTAAGCAAAGGCACACTGAACGCTCAAAGTGTTAGGGGGTCCAACAGATGTCAGATGAACATCCAGTGAGTATAACCCTTTTTGGAGCTGACTGCTCATCCTTTGTGCTAAATGCTGTGTTTTAAAATATACTCAAATGCATTACTCAAAATCAGACTTATCTGTTATTCTTGGCTATCAAGACAGCATATTTCATTTCATGAAGTGAATGAAAATGCGTTATACGCCCTGTGAAGTAACCATGTGTTGGCAAAGGGATGAAGAAATTATCAGGAAAAAAAAAATTCAATGCAGTTCTGTCCATGTAAATAAGATTTCTTACCAGGTGTGGTCATTGTTGCATCTTCTCCTGAAAAAGAGAGAGAGAGAGAGAAAGTGTAAATTAAACTTTCAAGGAATTATGCCAAAAATATGAAAAGACACATTCCTTCCTCCCAACTATCAGCTGATCTTTCCCCAGGGAATTACAGATTCTTAAGTAATATTTATTGGATGTAGCAACAACCAGACCCCCTAAAATATCAAGCATATCATCATAGAATCATAGAATCACAGAATGGCCTGGGTTGGAAGAGATCTTAAAGATCACTTAGTTCAAACACCCCTGCCATGGGCAGAGATGCCAAACAGTAGATCAGGTTGCTCAGGGTCCCATCCAACCTGTTCTTGAACAATTCCAGGGACAGGGCATCTACAACTTCTCTGGGCAACCTGTTCCAGTGTCTCAGCACCCTCACAGTAAAGAATTTCCTCCTAACATCTAATCCGAATCCTTCATCTTTTAGTTTGAAACCGTTCTCCCTTGTCCTATCACTATCTGTCCACGCAATAAATCATTCTCCCTCTTTTTTATAAGACCCCTTTAAGTACTGGAAGGCCACAATCTTTTACTAATTTTGAGGATTATAAAATTCCATTTTGACACAAGAATCCTGAAATCCATCCCCAAAGTTCCCTCCAGACATATCCCTCTAACACAGCCTGCCGTGCTTTCAGCAAGGAACAAAGCCACTTGTTCATACACTCCTTGCTGGGACTATTCCATAAGCTTTCAGCCACCTGTTTGTCTCTTCCTTTCTCCTCTCTTTTTCTACTAGTTCTTTCCCACTATATTTGTATCTTGGTGGCACATGTGTTTTTCAGAGAGTATTTCCCTGTTTACAATTTCTCTGTTTCTTCAGCTTTCCTACATGGCACTTCACAACTGCTGTAGTTCTACTCTTTTGAAAATAAACTCCTTCAACCTTTAAAGCAAAAAATCAGGTTTATATGAAAAACTGCAACATTTATGAAAGATACGTGTTCTGTTGCCCTGTTCATGTGCCAGCATCAAAACCATGTCTCTCATCTCTGACACAGAAGATCAACACAGGCAGATCTCCTGGAACTCCTAAGATTTTCTCCTCATCGACCCGAAAGCAGCAGCACAGGTGTAGGCTGCTCAATAGCCACCATGGTTTGTGCACCCTGTGTGGACAGTTCAGAAGCCCAACAACAGCCACTAAAAAAACCCACAACCAGTGATGACAAAGTGAGTTGTGGACAGTGAGCAATTTCTTTGTGCTCAGAACTGTCATGAAGTGTGTATAAGCCATGATATGACTACAAATGTAAACAAAACCGAATGCCTTGTAAATATTTTTCTAGTGAGCAGTTGAGTTTCCTGTGGATTGCATGTTATTCAGGACCTCTTACTACAAGCTAAAATTTGGAAAAAGCTGGTAACCTGATATCCTACAGAAAAAGTAGCAACAGAAGTCAAATAAAGCTCAGCTAAAAACAGTGACGCAGAGCCAGCTATTTCTTTCTTTACAGAAGTGGGGAGAGGTGTTGCCTAAAATTTGATCCGTGACATGAGGACATTGTCTGCCTACATTTTGCCTGGAATCATATGAAACTGTCAAAATAAAATTGCTCTCAATTGTAAGAGCATAATACCTAAAGAAGTAGTAGACAGGCAACAGACTGAATAATGTGGGTTTAGAAGACACTGTATTAACAGGTCTAATATATAAATTCATTCTCCATGTATTCTCCATTGAAACACAGACCACAGATACTTTTCAAAGCTACAGAATGTTAGCAGATCTCCTAACATGAGGGATGTTACAGATAAGAAACAAAAACGTAGCTGATCTTTTGAACTATCAATGTACCTTCAGCATTTGAAATCTCCTGTCTGGAACATTTCTTTACAACAATTGCATAATCTAACTATACATATTAAAATGCCAAGGAACCTTGTAAAAGCTAGCATTTATATCCATTCATATTTGTCATGGGCAATAATTTTCAATGCATTTTCACTTTTTTTTCTAAAATTCAGTGTTTGAAAACTGGCAATTTTTCACTCTAAATTCCATAATGGGATTTGTCTGTTTTCAAAGTTGAAGAATCAATTATTCCCCCTCCTTCCCAAATCTTAGTCTGGTTCAGCACATCAAATATACCTCAAGCCAAAAATTAACTTTCTGTGAGCATCTACGCAGATCAACTTTCACTTAAAAAACTTTTCCAGGAACGGAATACAAGAAGTTGCAGAAAAAGTCCTAAATTAAACTCTGCTCAGAGATTAGTGAAACATTCAGAAATACTTTTCAAGCTATTTACTAATCTCTGATGCAAACATAATGGAGACAAAAATACACATACATCAAAGTTCCCTCTTCCCAGTAGTGGGCTCATAAGCTTGTCACAGTGTTGTTTCTGGATGCCTCATTCACTTCCTTAAGATTCCTGTGAAAGTAATTCTCCCCATTCCCTCCCTTGTAAAGTTAAGATTAATGCTACTAGCTTAAATTTAGTGTGAGGTTTATTGCTCACTCACAGTGACAGATGCTAAATGTTACACATAATCATGGAACTCGAGGTTAGAAGTGACCTCAAGAGATCGTTTAGTCCACCTGCCTTGCTCAGACCAGGATCTTAAAACAGTTTGGAATAGTCCTAGACTGCCCTTTTTCCCCCCTCCAACTAAGCACTGGCATTTTTTAGCAGAATTTCATGGCAGTTTTACGTCTGTCTAAGCATTTTAAAAGTCTCCCGCTCTTCTGTGATTCTATTCTCTGACACGCTTTATTATAGCAATAGGGTGCACTTGAAAAGAATTCAATAGGTGGCACCAGAACACTAAAAAATCCTCTCAAACAGCAAAGCAGATACATTTCCCTGCGTAACCTTATTGAGAGATACTGGGTAAAATGAAGGAAAATAAAGAAGGATCCCAATACAGCAGACTCTGCTACTCCAAGATTAGAAGGGATATTGCTACAATTAATTTAGTTTTTAAAAAAATGTCCCACAGCACAGACAAATATGTCTGAGCTAACCCTGGGCTAAAAAAGTTAAACTCGAAGACAAAACTGTATGCTCATGTTTATGTTCTAAAACATAACTCTGGAAGATTGAAGGTTGCAATCTAAAAATATCTTTTTAAATTTAACAAGGATATCCAACCCTGCAAAAAACTTGCTGTGCACTATGAAAGCCTGATGATTACCAAACTAATCAAGTTTGTATGAGTCTAAACAGGATGCTTTTCTCAAAATTTAAACTGCATCCAGCCATAAGACCTTTTGAAAATAATATGTGTAGATAATCCAAGTGGAAGAATTAGAGCATATACGAAGTTCCTACTACTGAAGGAACTTCTCTAAACTTCTCTTTCCTTCCTCCTGATTTGGCCACCAATTGGTTACTGCTGACTTGACTGAAAGATTTGCAACCCATCAGTAATGTTTGAGCAGATCTGGCCGTAAGCAGGTGCCCTGGAAAAAGATATAATCAGCACATCCCACAGGCAGAAGGGAACCTGGCTAATGGCTTTCATTCCCTTTCCTCTCTGGCTACCAGTTGGAAGGCAGAATGCAGCTGCTGAAAGAAAGAGAGGTTTTAGATGGAATGACAGACTGCCAACAAAATACACCTAAAAATGAATGAGCTGACCACACTCTCTTGAAAGCTCAAAGACACGCAGGCCCTGTGAGTGAAACATGGGACTACTGCATTATGAAGAAGCCTTTCAGTGTTCAACAAGAACAGAAAATGGAAAAACTGTGAAAGGAACCAGGCCACCAAGAAAAAAAGTCTATCACTTCAAAGCCCTGGGACAGCAGGCTGTCTGGGTCATATTTGGGAGTACAGGAGCTGCTACATCACCTCTGCAGTACTGACTGCACCCACTGCACTGAATCGTGGTCACACATAAGTCCAATCATATAAAGAGATAGCTTGTTGCTGCCCTCTCAGGAAAATGCTTTCCACTTGGCAGGACCAAGTGACTCAGCAGGATACAACTCGGCCCTAGAATGTGTTAAAAGACACTGTATTTCAAGTAAGTCCAGGGTCTGATCTTCTCGAGGAGAAGGAAGTGCCAGCACACATTTCCTGTGTGTGATGTTATTAATAACTCAAACTCCAGCTGATAAGATGGAAATACTGTTGAACTGGCATTAAGAGCCTAAAAATGTTATCATGTTTATAGGTGCAAAAATACATTAGCTGATGACAGGGAACATGCCTTTTAATTCCATTCTGCTGCTTAACTTGCGCAGTGAGTAAAATGGACCCAGTTTTGTATTTCCTGTTGGGCTGGGCAGGGGACTGCGCTTGCAGGATGATAGCTCAGGCTGTCCCCTCCGAGCACAGGATTGCTTCAGGATTGCATTCCTTGGTACACACAGCATAGAGAAGTGTGGAAAGGAGGATACCTCTTCTAATAGTGCATTTGGTGTTTTATCTAGCGTGGTACCATACCAGCTGGCTCTTCACATCCAGCTGTACTCCACGTGTCTTTGCCAGAGCTGGGAGGGGGCAGAGGAAGTAATCCTTCCTCTCAGCCTCATGTCTGTAAAACAGTTGGCAGCTGGGTTTTGCTGCCAGGAAAAATGCTTAGCGATTCTGCAGAGCTGCTGCCCTTTTCCCAGGATCTCTCCAGCCTTTGGCATATTGGACAGACCCCAGCAACCCCCACCAGGCACCACTTTACACCAACAGCTTGTATCGGTCCAGATTCTGTCTTCCCTCTTTTTACAGCTGAACAGCACTACTTCAGCAGGGTCAGGGCTCTTCACATCTGCACAGAACGCAACAGGATGTGGTCTACTTGTTCAGATGGAGTAAAGCTCTTTGAGGGGGTCTTCTAGCAAACAGCACAGACATTGCAGCTCCACTGCAAGCCAACACTAAATTGCAAAAAAAGAACAGTTCCTGGTGGGAGGTGAAGGGGTGAGTAAGGCAAGGAGCCTTACAAACTGCTGCCAGCCACCCTTCTTTGATTTATTTTTAAACTTCAAGTGGGATAGGATGTAATTCACACCTACTTTAAGGCTCCCTTGTGCTGCCAGAACC